GGGGGGAGTAAGTGTTTTACGGCGCTCCCAACTGCCAAAGGTCATACGATCGCGCGGGACACACGAAACATTTTCAGTTGATAGGAAAATTTAAATCTTTCCCTGGTGGTGGCCGAAGCGAAACTCTGATCCATTTTGGAACACTAAGGGATCTTTACCGTGCACAACGTGTACACGTGACCTCCGAGATTTGTTGCCATTATCAGAGAAGGCTAGGCGTTAGATCTTATCTACCATAAGATCAGGGGTGTGGCTGAAAGATAGCAGTAAGATGGAGCCAGGGAGTAGCAGTAGAAAGGCTGCAGAGTCAGGAGCCTAGAGGAGGCGTTAACGGGGTGAGAGAAAGTGGATGCGAAATCAGACGAGAGAACATTGATAGAGAGCAGGAAAGGATGTGAAAAGAGACGATTTTAGAGAGGAAAAGTTTCTGTCGCTATCTGGATTCGAACCCCGGACTTATTGATTGAGAGGCAGACACCTTAACATCTAGACACCATGAGAGCCCCATCACTTGCAATATAATTAGTTCATAATTAGAAAGTAAAGTTGTTCCCGCATCCGATCGGGACATTGGGGTTTGCCTTGTTAGCAAGACAACATCCTGGGCCTTCGACGCATTGTGGTAGGGTGGCCAGTTCCTTTCCCTGCCACCTTTATTTCCCCAACTCGAAGTCAGGTTCCCGTTACTCCTGGGTGGGCTGGAGGGGGCGAATAAAATCCATGTCCGAACCGAGACGAGCGCACTAACCGCTCCGCCTCCGCACCCCTCATAATTATAAGTGCCGAAAATAGAGTTGTTATTTGAGAATAGTATAGAAAGTAACCGGGAAGATAAAAGAGCGATAAATGTTTGTTAAGAATGAAAGAGCAGACCACGCCAGAGCACCCACCAACCATCCACTCCCCTATCCTGGTCAAAAACAGCCATCAAAACATTATAATATATCTAGCTGAAAACGGCATAATCATTCTATTCTTTCAAAAATAATCTGCCTTGCATTAAGATATTTGATGCGCTGGAAAACTTCACTGTCTCCCCAGATTTACACTCCTGCAATTTATCTACAAGATGTCAAGCTATTTTAGTCTCATGTACATTCATTTTTTTGCTCCGCCAGTCTTAAGGTGGAGTGCTTTGAAATCAAAACCCTTGATAGATCAGATTGCTCCAAAGATATCACAGAGCGTGAGTATTTGTTTAGTTTTATTAGAAGGAAATACGTCAATGCAATAATAGAGAACTGCGACAAGGGAAATGTGAGATGGAATATCAGAAACATTACAGGGAACAGAAAAACAAGTGGAACCAACAAAAGTTAATAACATTCATTTCCTGTAGTCAAATATCATTAAAATACTTGATCCATTGTATTTATCGGTGTATGTCGGTATTTAAATGGACAGAACTGAGAAAAGGTAGATCCATGAAGCTCCCCAGGAAAAAACACACCCGTGCATACACCCCCTCCCAAATACATGTACACACACAGGCACACATATATACACACACAGACACGTAGGTAGGGGGCGGTGCAGTTATCCTCGTAAAATAAAGACAATGTGTGTGGGTATACTGTATGATGCTACTGTTGCCTTTGGCATGATGCGGTAGGGAGTGGTGTGGTGTGATTAGTGTTAGGGTGCGGCAGTGTGTACTGTCTTTTATTTTAGCTGTGGCGTGGCGTGGAGTGGTGTGGTTTTGTGTTCTGTCTTTTCTGTGCTGTGGTTTTAAGTGATGTCGAACTGTGTGGCAAGGTGTAGAGTGTTATGTTGCTGTGAGATATGGCGCAGTATTGTATTTTTTGGGTGGGGCTGGGATAAATTAGTATAATACCGTTAAGTAGCTCGTGGCATGGTATGATATTGGTTAGACCTACTTGTTGAAAATACACACGTATCATTATCATACTCTGTCAAACTGCAGTGGCGTATTGCCTGGGTTTTTGGGTTTTTTCAAACAGGACAGCAAAACAGCCCTGGGCAGCGGTCACAGGTCAACAAAGATGGCGTCCGGGCGACCCACGAGCTACAGAAGGAGAGTGTTGCTCCGAGTCTACGGACGAAAGCGGGGGAACAAAGAGGAGGCGGGAGTGAGGGAGGGAGAACAGAAGAGGAAGACAGAGAGGGTGGCCGCCCACGGAGGACGGGGGTCCACTCTGAAGTCGTGCTTCTGCTGGTGTGATGGTCAGTGCCTTTCTCTCTTTGTTTTTGCTGCTGTTGTTTGTTGTTTTGTTTTTGTTTTGTGATTTGATTATAACGAGTCAGTTCTGTTCAAAGTATTGATTTGTTTTGGCGTTATTGAAAATGTTGTTGTTGTTGTTTTTTGTTGTTTGTTTTGTTTTTTTCGTTGCTGCTGCTGCTGTTGCCACTCTATCTGTTGTGGCAAAAACGTGCATTGCTTCAAATCAAAATTTTTGTCTTCCGTTTCTGCTTTTGGCATATTTTTTGTCAGTGTTGTTGCTGATGTCGTCTTCCCAGACATGTGAAAGTGCAGATCATCCCATCATTTTTTTAATAATTTTCCGAAAAGTGGGAGTAAACATCGTATATCTATGCTTTAACTCTACGACACAAAGCTGCGACATAATTACTAATAAAATCAACCTCGGTGGGTGGTTGGCGGGTGCTCTGGTATTTTTTTTGCTCCTTCTTACCTACCAAACATCTGTCGTCCTTATCTCTCCTCCTTCTTTTTTGTGTACGTTATTGTTGTGTATCATGTCTATTCTTCAGAACTTATATTACCTTACTGTGTTGCAAGTGCCGTAAAACTCTTACTAAAAATAATACCCTAATATTGTATAACCAATCC